AAACACCTGCCAGAAAGGCCTTGGAGGCCGCCACACTTCTGGTAGAGTGAGCCTTGACCCCCAAAGGCGAGGGGAGATCAGAGGACTCATAGGAAAGACAAATGGCATCCACTATCCACCAGCTGAGGGTCTGTTTAGTAGCAGGAAGACCTCTCTTGGGGGGACCATAGCACACTAGCAGTTGGTCTGCCCTTCTCCACAGGGCAGCTCTGTGGACGTATGCATCCAGTGCTTGCACTGGACACATACAGTTAAGCTTCTGCTGGTCAGGCTCACGAAAGGAAGGAGGACAGAAGGCCTGGAGTACGACAGGCCATGGTGTAGAGGAGGGAACTTTAGGTACATAACCCGCTCGATGGTAGAGAAACGCTTTGGCCAGACCGGGCGCAAAGTCTAGTACAATTAAGCTTCTGCTGGTCTGGGTCCTGAAAGGGAGGACAGAAGGCCTGGAGTATGACAGGCCACGGTGTAGAGGAGGGAACTTTAGGAACATAACCCGCACGAGGGTAGAGGAACGCTTTGGCCAGACCGGGCGCAAAGTCTAGATGAGAAGGGGCCACTGAAAGGGCCTGCAAATTCCCAAGTCTCTTGAGAGAAGAAATCGCCAGAAGGAAGGTAGTCTTAATAGTGAGATGGCGATCAGATATCTCCTCTATCGGCTCGAAAGGAGGTTTACAGAGAGCTTCTAGCACCACAGCCAGGTTCCACGGGGGGACGCGAGATCGTACAGAAGGCCTAAGCCTCAGTGCACTGCGGAGGAAACGTGTAACAAGGGGGTGCCTGCCCACTGACTGACCACCGAGAGAAGCGTGGTAGGCCGCAATGGCTGCCACGTAGACCTTCAAGGTGGAGTGGGTCAACCTTACGGAGAATCGGGTCCTGCAGGAACTCCAGCACTGAACCAACTGGGCAATTAACTGGGTCGAGCTGGCGGTCTCCGCACCAAGAAGTGAAAAGCTTCAAGGCATACAGTTTCCTCGTAGCGGGAGCTCTGGATTGGAGGATGGTCTCAACAACCTAAGCTTCGCTCCCAAGCAGACAACGCACAGCCAGAAACACTGTCTGCTTTCGCCCAAGTGTTTAGTCTCGCCCATCCATTGGACTGATTACACACGTGATTCAGAGCGTGGTCACGCTGAAGGCGTTCCCATAGCGTTTCGACAAAGCTCAAGTTCCTGAAGGGGAACTGTTGTGTTTATCTGTTATAGGTTGGAATCTGTGGTAGAACAGGAAGTGGCAAGTCGTCTTTCTCATTAGCCTTTTTCCGGATGGTGGACACATTTGAAGGTGACTAATTTTTCAAGTTCAAGCTAATGTAATTTAAATTACAGAGTATGTATAATATATGGCTTGGATTTTAAGTCGCTATAATTTAACAGGGCGAATAATCATCGATGACATCGATATAGCAAAGCTGCCTCTTCAGACGCTGAGGTCGCGCTTCTCTATTATTCTGCAAGATCCCTTCTTATTCAGCGGAACCATCCGGTGCGTCTCATGAAACCGAATACTGCATGAGTCAATGATATTGTCATAATATCCTAGACATTATTTTTTTAATTTACAGTTAAAACAAATGTACTTACGAAGAACATAATCAATTGGATACATGAGATATGATTTCACAAACTCTACATTATATACATTATGAATGGAAGACAGACAAGCATAAATAAGCATTTATATATTATTTGTCACTGCCGTTCTCTAAATGTACCATAGCAACAGCAGAGTGAACTCATTTTTTGTCTTGTTTCAGTGTTTTTAAAAGCCCCATCATACATCACTATGTGACTGAAGAACTGAAGGATTTCTAGGGCAAGCTGAATTTATAATGAAGTTTTATAATACCTCATCTTCTTCTGTTCAGTTTTAATCTAGATCCAGAGATGAAGGCTACAGACAGCATGCTGTGGGAGGCGTTAGAAATCGCACAACTCAAACCAGTAGTTAAAACCCTGCCTGGAGGACTAGGTAAGACAAAAACCATGCCAGATACCGATAGAAATCACATGTTAAAGGGATCGCTCACCAAAAACGTGTACATTTTGTCATTACTCAACTTCATGTCGTTCCAAACCTACTGTATATTACTTTTTTCTTCTTCTGTGGAACATAAAAGCAGATCCTTTCTATCCCTTTAACCCTGTAAAGCCTGACATACAAAATAACAAAATGGAAGAGTTTATTAAACCTTCAGAGAAAAACTCTATTTATTGTTGTTGAGTATCATATTTGATGCATCAGGCTTGTATGGCTCATATAATATGATACAGTCAGAATATGGAGGGGAAAAAAAAACATCTCAGTTTTATTCAGAGGCCAAAACTGAGCAAAAATATGCTGATATTTTTTATGGTCAATTCTGATAGCTTGTAAATCATTTTGAATTTTATGACATTATAACAGAGTACTTATATAAAATCATATAAATATTAGTTGTCACTCTATATTTCCCATTAATAAGTTATAGTAAGATGATATTTAAATGTTTAGTTTTATGATCAAAGCTTTGTAGTTTCAAAACAAATAATGCAATGTAGTGCTGGGCGGTATGACCACAAATTTATATCACGGTATTTTTCAAAATTATACCGGTTTCACGGTACATGACCTCACCACAGTGCAACAGTGAAAAGGCACCGCTTTCAAACAGTGTCGCGTTCCGAACGTTGTTTAAGCGGCATACACTGGTATTGCGGTATTTTAAAAATTCATATCATAACAAAAATAAACACCGGTATTCAGTATGAACCGGTATACCGCCCAGCACTAATGCAATGCAACACAACAATGATTGAGAGATGAATAAATAGGCTTAATCAAAAGCCTTTTGGATTCACATTTAAACATGATTTTTCTAGAAAATGAAATATGGATAATCAAGTTGCTTCAGTCCAGTAAGTGTTCATCTTCAAATATTACTAACAGTATAAAAGATATTCTGTTTACTTTATAAAAAATCAATAAAGATTTCACAGCAAAAAGACACATGAAAGTATAAATGATCAGTCAGACGGCAGAAGGCATAGAGTAGATTCTGTACAACAGGTTTTTCAGCAAACGTTTGATCATTTAGAGGAATTTAGAGAAATGAGGTTTATAGGGTTTCACGAATAGATGCTTTTATGAATGAATGTGTACCCCTCTGGACAGTCCCAACAGAAATTATATCTCATATTTCTAAACGAGAGCACATCAAATTGACTGTGCGGTCAGCTGATAATCACATCACCTCCAGACATCAAACCAGCTGCAGCAACATTTCACTCTGAACGTATAAAAACCGTTTAGACTGCGAATCAAAAGCTCTCTAAAATTATGATTGATGATCTTTCGCCTTGTGTTTCAGATGCCATAATAACTGAAGGTGGGGAGAACTTCAGCCAGGGGCAGCGTCAGCTCTTCTGTCTGGCGCGCGCATTCGTGCGGAAGAGCAGTATTCTGATTATGGACGAGGCCACTGCTTCTATAGACATGGCTACGGTGTGTGTGTGTGTGTGTGTGTGTGTGTGTGTTTAGAAGTACAATAGAGAGTCTGAGAGGTAGAGGGAACAGCCCAGGGCCAAGACCTCAATTCTCAAGCACTCTTCTCCTCTGCCTTCATCTCTCTGAATAAATGAAGTGTGGCTCTGCTAAACGCACTGGCTGAGTTTAATAGAGGAATGGACACACAGTGAGGGTCAGTTTGACTGATTCATACTGAAAGGAAAGCGTCTGTGTGAAAAGTGCTGGTGTTTATATACCACCTACAGACTGATATCAAGAATTTGATATAAAAATGATATGCCAGGATGAATGTAAGCCATCATATAAGCACTAATATATAAAGTAATATATACTAAAATACATGTTTACTTTTCAATTATATCTTCACTTAAATTGTATTAAGAATAAAAATAATTATAATTTGTAAATACATATATTGGAGAAATGCAATTAAAAAGAAGATTTTAAATAATTAAAATATATTTAATATTAATATATATATATAATATAAATTATATGAATATAAATATATACATGATCATATGACCCCTTTAAAAAAAAAAACTGTATTACATTGTTATATATATTATGTTGTGTTATATTAATAATGCTCTTTATTTAATAGGAGAGCATTCTGCAAAAAGTTGTGATGACTGCCTTCGCCAACAGAACTGTGGTCACCATCGCTGTAAGTTCCCTATTAGGTTGCTTTCTGACTTTAATATTTAAATTCTGGTTGCAGTTAAAGTCTGACAGCATGACGACGATTGAATACTTTTAGTGATTGAGAGGCATTTATCCTGCTCAAACAAAGTCTCAGGCACTTGAACTCCACTGTGTGTTTTTCCACAGCATCGTGTGCACACCATCCTGAATGCAGACCTGGTGATTGTGATGAAGAGAGGAGTCATTCTGGAGTTTGATAAACCAGAGGTTCTCCTCAATCAAGAGGACAGTGTGTTTGCGTCATTCGTGAGAGCCGACAAATAAACCCGAGACCCTTGACTGAAACTGCAATTGTACCATGAATAATGAATAATTTATTACTGCGATTATCATCACATTTGTAAATAAAATGTTAATCATTTATTAATAAAAACATATAAACTTGTATGCTTATATTGAATTTTTCCTCTTTTATTTTTAATATTGCTAAATGTGTCAGTTGATTATAGTACTGTAAGCTATAGTGTATTATGATATAGTACAGTTTGTCTCATCTGAACATGAATCTTAATTTTTTTGTTAATGCAGAGTGAAGTGTAGTATAATATAACAGATTATAGAGTAGTACAGTTCTTTAGTAAAGGATTGTTGTCTATAATATTTGTTAATAAAATATTAAATTAGAAAAATTATAATATGAATAAAGATAAAAAGTATGAAAACTATATATATATATATATATATATATATATATATAATATAATAAATATATGCTTTTTCCAAATAAGTTTGTTAAAAAGCTACAAATTATTAAAAAATTGAATATAAACATAATGCTCTTTTTAATAGGGTAGGTAAAAAAGTTGGAAATAAGTCTATTTTAAAAGCTAAAAATTATGTAAAAATATAATAAATTGAAACATTCTCTTTTTAATAGACTGGTTAAAAGTTGGAAATAAAACAATATAATTATATAATTCTCTTTTTTAATAGACTGGGTTATAAAGTTATAATAATAAAAATATATTATATTATATCATATATTAAATAATAATGCTGTTTTTTAAAGGGTTAGGATAAAAAGTTAGAAATTATTTTAAAAAATTAATTGTTATATTAGTAGGTAAGGCTCTTAATAAGAGATAATTCTACAGTACAGCATTGTTATAGCCTATAGTATATTTGTCTCTTTAGAACTGGAGTCCTCACTATGACTGTAGTAGTGTATAGTTAAGTCTAGCGTGTCCTTTAATTGTTAACGCAGAGCGGTTTCTAACTGTGCTAAAGTTCGCGTTTAGCACGCATGCCCTGTGCAGAACGAGTCTTTCTGTCCGGCCCGAAGTCACATCTGAGAGGATGTGTGAGAAAATATCCGGTTGCAACTGACAGGCAGCGGCAGCAGGAGCACTAAAAGCGGCGTCTTCCCACGGGACCTCCTCACCTCTTGCGAGCGAGTGCGCAGAGTTCGTGCGAAAAAAACACGAGCCACGTTACGACTTAATAACGCAGCCGCGAAATTATAGCATGGACCAGCTATGTTGTCCAGAAAAGGACTCATTCCCGAGGATTATCTGCTGACCCGCTTGGCGGAGGATGTGTTGCAGCCAAAATTCAAGACTAAACAGCGGAAAGCGCGATTCGTCGCCAAGAGCGGAACGTGCAACGTCGCGCACACGAACATCCGCGAACAAGGACGCTTTCTCCAGGACGTCTTCACTACTCTAGTGGACCTAAAATGGCTTCACGCGCTCCTGATCTTCACCATGTCCTTCCTGTGCAGTTGGCTCTTGTTCGGGATGATCTGGTGGCTCATCGCGTTCGCGCACGGAGACCTGGACGCGAAAGGGGACGACTTTGTGCCGTGCGTAACGGACATCCACTCGTTCTCCTCCGCCTTTCTGTTCTCCATCGAAGTCCAGGTGACCATCGGCTTTGGCGGGCGGATGATCACGGAGGAGTGCGTGTCGGCCATCGTGATACTGATCCTCCAAAACATCGTAGGTCTGGTGATCAATGCCATCATGCTGGGATGCATCTTCATGAAAACGGCGCAAGCGAACCGGCGAGCGGAGACGCTCATCTTCAGCAAACATGCGGTTATTACCGTCAGAAACAACAAACTGTGCTTTATGTTTCGCCTTGGGGACTTGAGGAAAAGCATGATCATCAGTGCCACCGTGCACATGCAGGTGGTGCGCAAAACCGTCACCAAGGAAGGCGAGATCGTGCCTTTGGACCAGATAGACATCCAGATGGACAACCCGGTGGGCACCAACAGCATCTTCCTGGTGTCTCCCCTCATCATCAGTCACGTTATTGATAAAAACAGCCCTCTGTATGACTTATCAGCGGCGGATCTGCAGCACGAGGACATCGAGGTGATCGTCGTTCTGGAGGGGGTGGTGGAGACCACCGGCATCACCACCCAAGCGCGGACCTCTTACCTGTCCGAGGAGATCCTGTGGGGCCAGAGGTTCGTGTCTACGGTGTCTGAGGAGGATGGGATGTACGCTGTGGACTATTCTAAGTTTGGAAACGCCGTTAAAGTGGCGACGCCGAGCTGCAGCGCGCGCGCTCTGGATGAGGCGGGAGGGATGGAGAGCTTCAGACTAAAGGAGTCCAGCGGCGCGTCAGTGCGGAGGAGAATCAGACATCAAAACACCAAAGAACTGTGAATGTACTCTGTCATTATCCTCCTGAGACCCAACGAAAGGGTATATAATGTTAAGTAACCTATAATATATATATATATATATATATATATATACACACACACACACACACACACAGGCCACCATGGTATATAATTGTAATATATTACATTTAATTTATACACACACAGCTAATATTTAATGGACCCTTTTCACAAGACTGTGATGACGCGTTTAATGGTCATCAGCATCGTAAATCCTCAAAAGTTTCACCAAAGAACTGTGAATGTACTCTGTCATTATCCTCCTGAGACCCAACGAAAGGGTATATAATGTTAAGTAACCTATAATATATATATATATATATATATATATATATATACACACACACACACACACACACAATATTGACAAAAGTATTGGGATGCCCCCTTCTGAACCATGAACAGGTTTGACTACTTTAGTAATTTCCATGAGTACAAATGTGACCCTGGATCACAGAACCAGTCATAAGGGTCAATTTTGTGAAATTGAGATGTATACATCATCTGAAAGCTGAATATATAAGCTTAGCTTTCCATTGATGTATGGTTTGTTAGGACAATATTTGCTGAGAAATCTGAGGGTGCAAAAAAAAAAAAAAATCAAAATATTGAGAAAATCCCCTTTAAAGTTGAAGTCCAAATGAAGTTCTTAGCCATGCATATTACTAATCAAAAATCTGTTTTGATATATTTACGGTAGGACATTTACAAAATATCTTCATGGAACATGATCTTTACTTAATATCCTAATGATTTTTGGCATAAAAGAAAAATCGATCATTTTGACCCATACAATGTATCGTTGGCTATTGCTACAAATATACCCGCTGAGAAACCCGGAAACGTGAAAAAGGTCCATTTGTAATTGTAATTTAAATGTAATGTTACTTTTTAAAATATATTAAATCATTATATTATAATTTTATATATGCTGCTTATTAATTAATTTTAATAATTCATAACAATTATTATACTAAAATATATTTTAGTGTAATATTTAACATTTTAATCATTTTTCTTTAAATAAACATATATAACGTATTATTACAATTAAATATAAAATATATTAAAATTAACATTAAATTTAAAAATAATTGATTTTTAAATTTAATGTTAATTATATAAATTGTTATATAGGTTGCTCTCTATATATTAATTAATTCATAATAATTACCTATTATTCATAATAATTAACACATTTAATTTTTGTTTAATATTAATATTAATTTATATCTAAATTTTAGATTTCAAAAATCTAGTGGTTTAAAGAGATACAAGATGTCTTTGTATCTCGTTAAACAAAACTAGATATGTCCACTTAAAGGGGTCATATGATGTTGCTAAAAAGAACATTATTTTGTGTATTGTGTTTATGCGGTTTAAGGTTCAAAAAACACATTATTATCCACATACTGTACATTATTGTTTCTCCTCTATGCCCCGCCTTTCTGAAAC